TTCGATGTGAGCTTCCGATGCAAGCGTCCGTGCGTTGAAAGTACAGATCGTCATCCTAGTCCTGGGCGACTTGAAATCTCCGTTGGCCCTGTGATTCTTGCAGCCTCGCCCGAGCGGTCCCAGCCGACGTCGCCCTGTCGGTGGTTCCCTCAGGTTCAGGGGAATGAGGCCCATAATTATTACTGTTTTCGGCGAGAAGAAATTTAACCACGCGTAGCTCGCCAGGCTCTGACGTGGCACCCTCCGCATTGGTACGGTGTTGGAACAGTCCAAACCGTTCACCCCCACGCCACGTTGAGGCTGCGGATAGGATTTGTGGGGGACCTTTTATTTAGACTGGAATAGGTGCAGCTTTATTCAATAGGTGAGCTTCTCTTTGTTTCTTTTGTTTTCATTGTTTCAATTTATATAAGTGTCTTGAAACTTTCCTACTGGCCAAACTGTTCAACTTCCAAAACATTTATAGTTTACAAGTCGATTTCAAAAATTTTGGAAAAAAAAGAAACAGAAAGGAGCTCCTTGGAATCTGAACACTTATTCTTTTATGCAACATCGAGGAGGAGGAAACGTCATAAGCTCGAAGAATAAAAAGAAGTAACAATAAGAAACTTACCCTAAATGGAGCCCCCTTGCTTTTGCTCATTTCTATCCTGAATCAAAAAGAAAATAGAAAAGAAAAGCCATTAAGTTTCATCCACCTTTCCTTGAGTCAAAACGAACTCTAGTACCTGAGTCAATTGCAATTAAAAGAAAAAAGCAGGAAATTAAGCCAATTCCTCCTAATAGCACTCGGAGCGGTCCAAGTAATAGCGTTGGGGCGCGCTCTGTTTTTGATCGGATTTTGCTCGGATTTTGCTCCGAGTATCCGAGCAAAATCCGAGCGCGTGGACCGGCAGTGAAGTCTCGAATCAATGCAGCCTTGGATGAAATGGAGGGAGTCCACTGGCATCCTGTGCGACCGGCGGTGCTCGAGAACACTCAAGGGCAAGGTGTACCGGGCAGTGGTTAGGCCTGCGACGGCAGCGAGTACTGGACCATACGCCAGGACTATAAAGGGCAGCTTTACTCAGCTGAAAGAGAAATGCTGATATGGGCCTGCTTGGACACGACAAGAAAGAGTCACAAATGAGGACGGCTCAAGTCCAACTGAAGGCACGAGAGCAGGTCTGCTCTGTTATGGGCACGTACCTGTGAGTCCTGAGAAGCCTCCCCTCCCCCTTCCCCCCCCCCCATAAGGAAAGCACTGGACTTCGAAAAAGAAGGAAAGCGACTGCGAGGAGCCTCAAAGAAAGATAGGGGGACGTCATCAAGAAGGACCTCACTGAAATGAAAGCCACGGCAGAAGATGCAGTGGATCGGAACAAGTGGCGACGTCTAACAAGAACAGCGGACCCTGCGACGGCGCGGGACTAACTTCAAGAAGAAGAAGAAGAAAGCAGGGTTGAACATCAAGATCAAATTTCAAGATGAAAACAGTCTCTTCTAATTTTTCGAAATTTTGGGTCGGACCAAAAGTAATGGCCTTTTCTTCTAACTCGAAATATAGCGCTAAAAGCGGAAACTTTTGCTACTGAGTTTTATATGTTTTGCAGAGAATTCCTTGCCCTACGATAGTCCCCTTACTTTTTTTCAAGCTCCCTTTTTTCACCTCTGATTAAAAAGCCAGGACCGCACAGGCCCAGTTTCTCTTTCCACTAATATACAAGTGCTCCAACTGGAGTGTCAGGCCCACAGAATTCAGCACTTCCGACAGCCTCCCTTTTCCACCTCTAATTGAAAAGCTAAGAACCACACAGGCCCAGCTGCTATTTATATGGCCAGGAGGCCATGTCTCTTAGGAATGCTTACAGGGTTTAAGTTATTCGAAGATTTCAATTTCGACCTCACAGACAAGCATCGAACCTAATGCCCTATTGAGTCCAACTGAGAGCTTACTGAATTACCTTATTCACGGAGATTCATGCCAAAGATTGAGGAATCGTTAGAGGTCATGGAATGCTTCCTTATCATTATCAAGCATCACCCTTAGTTGATGTTAGACGTTCAAAAGTTGGGCGGTAGTTCTGCAGGCAGTCGCTCCTCAAGAGGCTCCCCATGAAATACACTTTCACAAGGTCCCAATTCCCAGCTCTTAATCGCTTGAGCCAGCTTTGAGCTGTCATAAAGAGCATCTTCCCAGCCGAGATAAAGTGCAAAAAGCTATTGTAAAAGTTTCGCTTTTGGGTCTACCCGACACTCCTTTTCAATGAAATAAAAAATCGACAGAAAACAAGAAGTATAATAGTAGGGGCAACCCACTGTCTTATAGAGCAGTAAATTACCTATCAAATAGTGCAGAAAATATTGGAAACAATTGTAATTTTCCATATAAGAACCTGTGTCAGAGAAAAAGGCCATTACTTAAAGACAGCCCCCGCGCTCAAGTAGTACATGGTCGTCCTTCCTTGTGCAAGTAGTACAGCCCCCAAGCTAGAGACTGTCCCACTCTCGCGACTCCACAGCGAGCGAGGAGCGAGCTACAGCCGCTGAAAGTTCTAGTTCTAACGCCCGCCCAGTTGGACCGCCCACTTGCTAGATGCCCTCTGACGGAGAGCCGCTCAGTTGTTCTTTGTTGGGACGGCGGGCATTAATCGGAATTGCATGTACTTTTTGCTGAGCGCTCGTGCCCATGAATAATTCTGCTCTCCTTCATTACATTTTATTCATTAGGAGCACATACAGTCAACTGCAACCCATCTCGCGTAAAAATCACGAGTGATGCAATTTTTGTGGTGCAAAAGCTCGACATGCACTAAAAGCTGCACACTGCACGTAACCCCAAATTCGGACGCCAAGTTTTTTTTTTTTATGTGTTTTCGTTCGTGTTTTTGTTGTTTTTCGTATTCTTTTTGCATTGGATGATATCCACTACTGGGATATGTGATAAAGCGATTTGTGAGCCAGGGTTGCACAGGGACCGCAGGGCGGTGTGACTGTCAGGGAGTGATGGTTTATGTGGTTCTTTAGGGCTGTTCTTGGTTTTTTCCTTTGTTGAGGAATCACTTATCAGCTAGTGTTCCATAATTGAACGAATTAATGGCCAACCCTACACATTCTGCAAAATAGTCACTCTCATCCCCCGCCTCCTTTATTATCATTCCTGCTTGGCCATACTGTACCAACGTTATAAATTTTTCAGGGAACCACAAAAGAAGATTGTTGTCAGAACTCGAAAATCGGCAAATCTTTGCGAAAAAGAGTAGAAAGCAGCCGGGTCCCGCAAGAGACATAGAGAAAGTCATGCAATCCCGCACCGCCCACCTTGAGTACGCCCCGCCCATTTTGGGTGTGTCTCCCACAGTAGTCTGGCAACTCCTTGCTAACCTTATTAAACTTTTTCCCCATCTTCAGGCTGCTCCGGAAGCGAATTATGAACATTTCTCTGCGGAACCCCAAAATTTCAGCGAGTGCCCCGCCCACTGTGGGCGGGGCTTCGCATAGGTCAAGTGTGCTTTTTATTTCTTGTCCCATGCTCTACCCATCCCCACCTTGACCCGACCTCTCCAAGTCGTTCTTCAGGTCGAACCGAATTTCCGGACAGAAAACTTTTCAAAAACAAACAAACAAA